TAAAAAACACCTCTTCTAAGCTGGAAAAAAAAATGAATTGCAAATAATTTTAAAATAAAAGAGAGTGCTACAGTCATATCCGTTGCCAGCAACAGAAATGCATTACAAAACATGGCTTCAAATATCAATGTTCCAATTAGAATAAAACCACAAGAAAAAAAAAATGCCCTCATATGTGACGGGGTACAGGAGTGTGATAAATTTAAAGCCAAAACTACCAACCATGCAACGCGGGGGCTGAGAGCCGTACCTCAGTGCTCCTCCTCGAAGTTGAAGGAGTCGAACGCCTCCGTCCACTTGAACTGATCACCTGAACGGTGACCGGCACTGTGTTCGGCCTTTCCCCCGTGGGGCGGCTGCACGGCAGGAGACCCATCCTCCGCGAAGAAATCGTCGTCATCAAATGGATCACAGCTTCTTGCAAAAATGTTAATGGACTCCGACTTGCGGAGACTCGAGGACGAGTCTGTCCGTCGCAAGTTGGCCAGTCTCGCCTTCATCCCGGCCAGGTTCTTGTCCTCGCCGCTAATACGCACCGAGCGTCTGTGCTCCGCCGACGGCCGGTTGGGTGATATCACAGGTTCTGCACTGTCTGGGTGCGGCAGTGCACTTGGGTCGGGCGGGCAGGCCTCGGGGGGCAGGAACACGTCATCCATGGACCTGCCGTTGCTTCTGCTGTCCGCGTCCGGCCCTGAAGACGCCACGGGGGCCGCGGGCGCCGAGGGACCCGCCCCCGACGACCCCAGGGTTGGCCGGCGCCCGCTGCCCGGCCGGCTCCCCGCCCTGCTCCCGGGTTTGCTGCCCGCCTGGGCACCCTCGTCCGCCGTGAGGCGGTGCTGCTGGTCGCTGATGTCGCTGGACGCGCTCGACAAGTGCCTCACGCCGCTCGCACTGTTCGGCGGGGTGAAGTCGTCTTCGAACGGCGACTGCCGCCGGCTCGAGCCCATGGACGAAGCCCTGCCGCGGCCGCTGCCCCCGCCGCCGCCCCCGCCGCCGCGCTCGAGGGGGCTCAGGGAGGCGCCGAGGCCGCCAGCCTCCACACCGCGGGCCTCCTCCGACTCCGACAGGCTGTCCCTCTTGCGCGGGGCGACGTGCACCTTGGGGCCGTGGCCGTGGAAGTGCGCGAGGCCCGCCGAGGGCTGCGGCGACCGGGTGGGCTCGCTCGTGTCGAGGCTGCTCTCTTGACTGAAGCTGGCCGAGCTCTGCTTGGGCTCCGTCACGAAATCGAACCGCTGGGACGAAAAGTCATCCTCAAAGGGTGACTGCTTGGGCGGGTCGAAAGTCTTGTAGCGCGAGCGGTTGGTCCTGCGCGCGTACAGGGTCTGAGAGCGCTGTTCGTAGCGTGCGTCCCGCTCCGTCCTGCTGCGGGTGCGCTCGCCGCGGGGCTCACCGCGGGGCTCGGGGCGGGGCTCGCCGCGCTCCCAGTACTCGTGCTCCTGGTCCGAGCTGAACGGGTCCTCCCTGCTGCGCGAGCGCCGGTCCATGCTGCCGCCCACGCGGTCGCGCTCCCAGTCGCGGTCGTGGTCGCGGTAGACGCGCCTGCGACCGGCGTGCGCCGCCGCGTGCGCCGCGGCCGCCGACGAAGGGCTGTCGTCCTCCTTGTACTCCACCGAGGTGCTGGGGGAGACACGGTCGTGGCCGCGGCTGGCAGCGCTTCCGGGCCGCGACCGCCTCCACTTGCGGACGCCGTGGGCGCCATGCGCGCCGTGTGTCGGGTGCGGACCGTGCGGGCCGTGGGGGTGCTCGTCGTCGCCCTGCTCGCTCGTCTCGTCATCCCAGTCCCGGTAGTGGGACGAGGGTGGACCGCCGGGCCCGCTCTTCCTGGGCCGGCCGTAGCGGTCCCACTCCCACTCACGGTCCCGGTCGCGGTCCCTGCTGCGCTCGTACTCCCAGCGCCGGCGGTACTCGTCCTCGCGGTGGTCGCGGTCCCGGTGCTCTCTGTCCCGGTAGTACCAGTCCCAGCCACCCTCCCGCCGGTAGTACTCGTCCTCCTCCCAGGCGTGCCAGCGGTCCCGGTCGCGGTCCTCGCCCCACGGCGACTGCCTCCGCTTCCGCGCGTCGTCGTACTCGGAGCTCTCGCCGTCCCAGGACCCCCTCGTGCTGCCGGGCCCCGGGCCGCCGCCGCCGAGGCCGCCGGGCAGCCGCTGCGCCCGCTCCTCCTCCCACGAGGACCCGCGGTTCTTGGGCCGCGTCTTCCACGAGCGCTTCATGTCGTCCTGTGACCTGTCGCTGGGCGGCCTGTCGGCGGGCCCGGGGGGCGGCCCTGTGCTGTCGCCGCTCTCCCACGGCGATACCTCGCGGCTGGACTGCTTGCCCACGGAGCCCGCCGCGCCACGCCGCCAGGGGGACACTTTCCTCCGCCGACTCCGCCGCGGCTCCGGGTAGCGGCCGCGCTGGCCCTCGTCGTAACCGTTCTCCCAGGGGTCGTCGCTGACGCGGTCGTCCCAGCCCTCCTCAGACTCCTCGTCCTCGGGCCACGCCGTGCCGGCCGCCGGGCCGCGGCCTCGCCTCCGCCGTCCTTTGTCACGATCGCGGTCCCGCCGCTCGTGGTCAGAATCGTCCTTCCATCCGGGGACCTTGTTGCTGAACTCCTTGCCGTCCGAGGACCACGGAGAGGCACCGTCGTCGCTCACTGGCTTCTCAAACTGACTAGAATCAAACTTGGCCCAGGCCTCGGAGGCCTCCAGTGACTGCGGCCTCGAGGTTGTCTCACTGGTGGCGGCCTGCGCTGCAGCCGGCTCGGCGGGCACGCTGCCGTTCATCAAGTTCGAGATGAGCGACTTGGTCGTCAGCTCCAGATTCTCTGGGACGGGCTCGAGCGAGACAATGCTGGAGTCGAGCAGGGATGGCTGCTTGGGCGGGACTGGCTGCTCGGCGCTGTCGCCCTCCGAGCCGCATGCGTCTTCCTCCAGGATGGTGGTCTCCATGATGGAGGGCGCGTCCCGCACCGTGTTTGTGTCCAGGGTGGGCGACTCGGTGCTCTCGCTGTGCTGCGCCGACAGCGTGAGGAGGTCTTGGTCCTCCATGGCTTCATGGTTCACCTCCGTGATGCTGTCCTCCTTGTCGCTCAGGTCGTTCTCCACCTCGGCGTAGCCGTTGTTGTCCTCGCGATCCTCGTCGCGCTCGTCGTCGTCCTTGTTGCTGGACTCGTCGCAGAGGGAGATCTCGCGGAGCGCGGCGTACCTGTCCACCAGGGCGGGCGACGGCGAGGCCGAGCTCACGGCGTTGCTGTTTGAGTCCGAGTGCCCCACCACGTTGATGGTGATGGGCGAAGAGTGCGGGACCGACGACGTCCGCGCGCTCACCTCCCCTGCAGCCTCCCCCTGTTCAGAATTCTCCTCCTTGGACTCGGTGAGGCTGACGGTGTCGGCCTGCTCCTGCGACGACGACCTTCCACTAGGTTCGTCCTGCAGCAGCAGCTCCCGGAACACGGCGTACTTGTCGTAGAGTGACTCCTGGTTCGGGACGCTGCTCGCGCCGGCCAGCCCAACGCCGCCCATGTTGCAGAAGTTGTCGTCGAACTCAGCGGCGAAGCCGGAGTCCTCGTCCACCGACTCCCGGAGCGCCGTGTACTCCGCCTTGCTCAGCGAGCCCCTGTTGCCCGCCGTGAAGGCGTCTGTCTGCGGCGCGTCCGAGAGGCTCGCCAGCCGCTTCGTCAAATCCTGGAGGGTCATCTTTGACAGCTGACTCGGAGAGATGCCTAGGGTGCCGGCCAAGTCGGAGAAGCCCGTCTTGGTCAGCTGACTGAGAGTAATGTCCAGAGACTTCTTGGTCGGGCCGGGCGCCGGCTGCGCAGACCTCCGCTGCTGGGACTGACTGGTGCTGGAGGAATGGTGCCGTTTCACCGGCGGGGGTAGGAAAGGAATGGGCGCCAAGTACCCATCCTCAGTCTCGGCAATGTTTTGTTTCTTGGGCCGCAACGGCACCGAGTTTTCTTCGCTGTACCTTGGTTTCCTCGCGGGCACCGGTATCGGCGGGCTCTTGGCGTCGGACGCGTCGTGCGGCGTGGGGCTGGACGACGACTCGTAGTTCTCGATGTGGTCGTAGATGGAGTGGTCGTCCTGGTGGGGCGGCCGCGGGGGCGGTTTGAATATGGTGCCGGTGTGCTTCTTGGGCGGCAGCGGGGGCGGCTTGATGGAGAAGGCGTTTGGGGTGGGCCGGGGCGGCGGCTCGGGGGCGATCTCCGCCAGCTCGGCGCTCGAGCCGGACAGCCTGGAGCCGGCGTCGCCGTCCAGGTCGGGGAACGAGGCCACGATGGGCGGCGACGGCGTGATGCCGCCGCGGCTCAGCCCGCCCGGGGAGCGCCTCTGCAGCTGCGCCGCCTCGTCCGCGGGCGTGGGGCTCGAGCCCAGCGGCGGGAAGCGCACGCCCTGCCCGCTGCCGTCCACCGTCATCTGCTTGGGCAGGCGCGAGCGCCGCTGCGACGACTTGGGGCTGGGGATCTTGACCATGGACACGGACAGCTGCTTGCGGGCGAAGCGGTTCCTCTGTCTGCTGAGCGAGCTGGTGGCGGGGCCGGAGCCGCTGAGGGGCGGGCTGGGCGACAGGCAGCTGGCCGTGCCCGAGCTGGCCGAGCCGTCCTCCGGGGGCAGCGACACCCGGAGCGGGCCGTGCAGGGTGCCGCCGCCGGACGCCCCGCCGGCCGAGGGTAAGGGCGACGCACTGTTGCGGGACCCGGGGGGGAATGAAGAGAAATCTGCAAAACCTGTTTCAAAGGGGTCTGCCATCACAGTATTAGGACTAAAACTAACAGTCTGGCTAAAGCTGCCTTCGGCGAAGGGGTCCGTCTTGTCGAAGGGGTCGTCTGAAAAGGGGTCGGGGAATGCAGGAAAGGAGGTAGAGCTTCCAGGAGCAGATTCCAAAGCAGACAACACATCACCCAAAGCACCCGCCTGCGACCCAGTCAAGTCTCTGCTACCTGAGTCGAACGATGCTTGGAACAGTGGTGCAGGGGCTGGAGCTGAGAGAGGGTCCACCTCCCCAACCAGATCTTTCAACACTTTCTTCGGCGGGTTCTTGAGATCGGAGAAAAAGTCTTTTTTGTCGACGTAAGGTTTACTTCTGCCGGTCCCAAGAGGGTCCAGCTCTGTAAACACGTCGAATTGGTCAGCTAATAGATTTGCTTGCCGGCTCATTTCCAGCGGTGATGCACGGTTGGAATCCTGTGAACAGATCGCGAGATTAAGGCTTTGCACAGTAGATCATTCAACATAGTAACAAAACGAAAAATTAAGTCTGCTGCACCTACCTGGTCAAGCTGATTTGTTTTGGACATAGTTCCAGGCATCTCTCCGTCGTCGAACAGCGCTTCAGTCTCCTGATCGAACCAGTGCTTCTCCTCCTGAGCGAGCGGCGCAGACGGCGGGGCAGCGGCGCCGAAGGTGGCCGCCGTGGACGTGAAGGCCGTGGAGGCCGCCGACACGGTTGCCGTGGTGGTGGAGGTGGTGGAGCCCGCCCGGTTGACGGTCCTCTCCCGCCGGTGTGTGCCGGTGCCGTCGGGCCTGGCCCCGTCCTTGGCGGAGGGCGGCGGCGGCAGCGCGGCCACGGCCGTCGACCCCGCGCTGGACGTCTTGGTCGTCGTCGTCTTGGTGGTGGTCGCCGTGAACGAGTCGCCGAACGGGTCGTGCTCGAACGCGTCCTCCTTGGCGGCCGCCGCCGTGATCTGGTCCATCTGGTGGATGTTCTGCTGCAGGTTGTTCAGCTCGTACTCCAGGTCGAGCAGGTCGGCGATGGTCGCCTCGGACTCGGCTTTCGACGATGACGCAACCGCCCCCGGAGAACCATTTTCTCTGACGCATGATTCCTGAAGAGCAATTAAAAATTAACCTCGGGTGAATAAAAGTCTAGATTTTCTCCAGACAGAAAGACACACAGACACATTTCCTAAACAAACCTTTAAGTGATGCGCCATGGCCTCCATGTAGGTGACTGACGGGGTGGTGGTGGTGGATGACATGAGGCTGGACGTACTGCCCCCACAGATTTTCATGTGCTGCTGCTCTATGTGCTGCTCCCTGTTCTTGAGGGCGAACACGACTTGGAAAAGATCTCGGATGCATTCCACTACCTGGCTTGCAGCCTTGTCCGTTTTAATTCCAAAAAATCTATGGCCAGTGTCTGGTGAGCCAAAAATGTAACCAAACGCTCTTGGATCGGTCATGTCTTGGGCGATAAACGATATTTTGTGAACGAGATGATGGTACAGGCAGTCCTGGAGCAAGAAAAAACATGGTTAGAGTTTAAGACCCACTTTAAAAGGCCCTCTTAAAGGTTATGGGTGAGTCGTGTCCAGAGTTGGCCAGTCGGTTGACTACAGTAACTCACCCCTGTCTTCTCATCTCGAAGTCGCAGGCCGTCGATGGCGATGTTGATGGTGATGCGTTGCTTGTGCTCCCCGGCGGCCCGGATGGCCATCTTGAGGTCGGCAAGGGCATCCTGGCACATGCGGTCGCCCCGGGCCTCAGCCACCTCCAGGATGCCGATGAGCTTGGCCTTGAAGCTCACCCCTTCTCCCATAAATCGAGAGGGCTCATTTTTGTCTGAAAAAAAATAAATACAAACAGGGCCGTTAGAAATGAAATGCAACAAGCACACAGAGATGGAGACAGCCTGTAACCGCACTTGGCACCATCCGATGCAAACGTTGTCCGTAAACCGACGGGTCAAAGAAGGAGGATCGAAAAACGAACCGCCAGTACGTCATCAATCACATGGCAGGTGACAGCGGGATAAGTGAGGTTAGTCGCGTTCCGTTACGTCACAGCCTCGGCTTGGACGAGGTCCCCGGGCCTCGGCCCCCGCGCCCGCGCCCGCGACGCAGCTGAGGCCGGGGCTGGGGCCAGGCCTGGGCCGAGGGTCGCGGTGCCACGCCAAGAGCAAAGGCGTGCAGGCGTGGTCCCCAAAGGGCGCGCCTGGCCTGCGCTGGGCTCGGCGGCCATGGCTCCACACAGTGGGCCTCGACGGGCGGCCCCCGGGGCCCCAGGGCGACGGCCATGTCCTTTCCCCTCGGGGGGACACCGAGGGTGGCGGGTACTCACGCTTCAGGGGGCTGCTCTTCTTGCGGAGGGTCTGCATGGAGGCGGCGGGCGCGGTGCGGGCCTACACGGGGCCGCGGACCCATATGCAGGTCAACACGGTCCGCGACACACTGCCGCGCGCTCGCCACCCCTACGCCAGCCCATTGATCTGGGTGGGGGGTGCGAGAG